AGCATCCTGTACTCCTGAAGAGTCTTTTTGGTTCCTAGGTAGGAATGGAACAGAAAGCTGTCGGGTAAAGTGTAAGCACCAACTACCTCCTCCTGTGAGTCATGTTGGGGGTGGGCAAAGGGAGAGTTTGGCCTGAAAGGAAAAATAAGTTCTGCCCATTGTTTTCTGGGAGAATCTACCTTAACTAAGGATAGAAAGGAAAGGCAGCTCAGAAAACTACAGACTCAGAGTTTTCCACAATATTTTAAGTTCTGGGCAGGACAAAACTGCCTTTCCCCTTCCCAGATTGAGAGTGTCAGCCCTCTGCCTGGGGTATCTCAACAGTGCTGGCCAAGTGCTATGGCTGACAATGCAGCCTTTATGTGCGCAGGCGCAAACATTCTGGGGGTAAAAAGTGGTGAGGATCGGTCTGGGCTACTAACTGCAGCAGGCCAGAGTGAAGTGGACGGTGTGGTGGGGAGTGAGGTGGGTGAAAGGAGCAGACAGTTGGGTCAGGATGTACACAGCAGACCCTAAGCACCTTTAAGCAGCAACGAATTCACATCAGCAACCTGTCCCTTGGGCAGCAGTGAGACACAGCCTGGAAGGGAAGAAAGGTGGTGGGAACCTGTCATAGATGCCTCACTTAACCCCACAACCGCCCTGGGAAGCTGGCACTACTGCCTTCATCGTACAAAAGATGACTGATACTCAGTAAGGCCAAGTCGCTCACGTGAGACCCAGGCCCCATCCCTGCTGTGGGCATGTGTGCATTCCTGAGCATGGAAATGGATTCCATTTGAACTTGGAGTAAAATGTTTCAAATCGTGCAGGTGATCTCTAGCCTGTGAAATGGCTGATGCAGCTTACCTCGGGTGGCCCCCTCCCCGCCCCCACTGCCCAGAGTCTACCCGAGGATCTCCAGTAGCACCTAATTATTTCTAGAGCTGATTAAAGATGGACTGGCTCCTCCTGTAAAGACAGCGGAGGGTCTGTTATTTTTACTCAGCAAAAATGATGAAATACTGTAACATCCATCGGTCAGGTGCATGACACCTCCCTGAGTACCACCTTGGGAACCCTATGCCTCCCCTCAAAAAGGCTCCCAGAGGCAGGAAAGACAGGTTATTGGATTCGCCCTTTTATTGCTCCTTCATCCTTTTGAACCTGGCACTCAGACGGACACTGCCGGGGCGACTTATAGACAAACCTCCTCTTTAATGTGCCAGTTCCCCTTGTTTGGGAGGCTGATTTGTCTAAAAGTGAAACCACCAGAGAGCCATGTAATGCAGTGAAACACTTCAAAACTCTTCCTGCATCTGCCTCACTCACCCCGAGGCTTCCACCTGAGCCCCGACTTTCTGACTTAGCATATCAGTGTCCTGGCCTCCAGCCTGGCCCTGCTCTGCAGCAAGGGATGCCCTCTAAAAGGCAGTGACTCTCCACCTGGGTTTAGGGAGGAGACCTCAGTTCTCTCCTGAACTTGCTCTGTTTATCCTCTTGTCCCGTGTCTTGTGCTCATGCACAGGCACCCTCTGCTGTCATTACAGGAGGGGCTAGTCCATCTTTAATCAGCTCTAGAAATCATTAGGTGCTACTGGAGATCCTCGGGTAGAATCCGGTGCGGGGGGGCGCCCGAGATAAGCTGGATCAGCCATTTCACAGGCTACAGATCACCTGGACGATTTGAAACATTTTACTCAATGTGCCTCTGATTGGCACCAGCTGGGAGAGCAGACGATGTGAGCCATGGGAACCTGTGAATCGATTATGATGCCCTTGGCTATCCCAGCTGACTGCAAAGTTCAGGTTTCAGGGACTGAGTTCAGCACATGTGGGCCCAGTCACCAGCATCAAACATGAAAGCAGACATTTAATTATCTCTGATCCTTGAGTGGCTTGCCTTGTGGGCCATACATTTCAAGGTTATGGGATGGATTCTGTTTCGTTTCCTGCAAGAGCAGAACTATTATTGTCTTTAGCCAAATGAGTTATGGCCCAAATATGTTGGTTATTCATTATCCACTTGCCTCATTGCCATCATTAAACAAATCAAATACAGCACTGTTTCAGCATGAGGCCCAAACCGCTAAACTTCACATTGATTTTGAAAATTGTTTTTTCTTGTTCCTTTAACCTCTGTGAAAAGCTGGAGTTTATCATCCCTTTATAACAGAAATCAAAGTCTAACTTCTTCCTTCTTAAATTTCTGTTGATAGTGCCATTACTAATAAACCCATTACAGATAAACACATCCATTCTGTGCTGTACTTGTTATAGTAACTGTGTCACAGGAAAAATGTGTTTGGCTCAATAAAAAGAGTATATGGCTGTTTTGCATAAAATTGAAATGGAAACGATACCACAGGAAATTATTTTATGTCAGCCACAAAAACAGGCAAAAACATCTCTCTGGCCAGATTGAAGAGGAAAATTAATTATGACTGCGTTATTGTGCCCAGTGAAGTCAGGAGTCCAAGAATTTGGATCTCTGTAGACCAGAGGATGGGGCCATGCAGACTTGGAGGAGAACATGCTCTGGGCCTCCAGGGACCAGCCAGTCCAATGTCCTATGCTGTCTCCTGTCTGAGGTCCCTGATCCAAACTTTCCAACCCTCCATCAGGGTGCCATGCACCTGACAAATGGGATGTCTCTGTCTTCACAGCCTTAGTCCAACCCTCTCCCTTGGCCCACCTCTCCATGGCTCTTCCCAGCTCCTTCCCCATGGTGAGCCCTGCAATGAGGTTGCCCACACCAGAAAGACCAGAAGTTAACTGGTGTGCAGGTTCCTGCCATGTGGTGACCTTGAAGTAGCTATTGGCTTCCTTGAATGAACTAACAGGAGGCCAATAAAGGGCAACTACTGAGGATAACCTACTTAAAACCTCAAAAAGTCTTTTGGAAGTTTCATTTCAAAAGCTATTAAAGGAGATTTCCTATCACAAAAAATGAGCCAATAATATAGACAAACCATACACAAAAGGAGAGATGGATGCAAATGGCAATAGGCTCAACCCCCTTAGAGTGAAGGAAAATGTAAATTAAAACCACAGGAACTGTTATTTCACACCCTGCAGATAGGCAAAAATGGAAGCGTTGCCTTGGCCTAGAGCAACTGAGATCCAGCTGAGAGTGTGAGTGTGGATTAGCCTCGCCCCTTTGGAGAAGAGTTTCCACTCCTGGTCTCATGCCCCAGTGCTGTCCATCTTATTATGAACATGAATCACCTGGGGATCTCATTAAATGCAGATTTGAATCAGTTGCCCTGGAAAGAGGGCCCATAAATCTGCAATTCCAACAAGCCTCCAGGAGATACTCATATTGTCTGAGGTCCAACTTTGAGTTGCAAGCCCCTAGCCAAGTTCTTACAAGTGCACCAGGAGACAAGCAAAAAATTCATAGTAGCACTGAGAATATAGGAAAATATCAGAAGAAAGAAATGTAAATGCCTTAGATATTGATGTTGGAATCTATAAACATATTCTTGAATATGTACAAGCCAGTCTCCCTGAATGATAGTTCTCCATTTAAAAAATGAAATAAACGTTGTGGAGAGCAGAGGAAGGCATACAGTAAAGAGAAAGCCCACACCTAATGCCACTAATCCAAGGGGCAGGGACCCACACCTCAAGGCCTCACGCCTGAGGTTCTGAACTAGTGGGTGTGGGTGCAGCCCAAATATCAAGAATTTAAGCATCTCCGCAGAACATTCTAATGTGCATCCAGGGTTGAGAACCACAGCTCAAGAACCTTGTTACTCAGTGTGTACCAAGGGCCAGAGGCATTAACCTCATCTAGGAGCTTGTCAGAAACAGACGCTCAGTCCACCCGTCTTACTGAATGAGAATCCCATTCCCCGCTCCCTATCCCATCCCCATCTGCACTCCCACCCCCAACTCAAGTGTTATTTTCCTTTCTGGGGAAAAATTCTCATCAGAAACTAAAGCAGATCATAGGAAAGGAGCAGGGGACCACAGGAATGTGGGTTAGTGTTCTGTATCCTGGAAACGTTTGTAAATGGGTCAAGCAGAACCACTGGGTCCAACATACACAGGCTACACCCTGGTCACCTCCTGTGTGAATCTCAAGGGTAGAACAAGTTCGGGGCTCTCTGAATTTGAGTCCTTACTCAACTCCCTGCCTAGCTGGACTCCCACTCATTTCACTTTTGGGAGAAAACAGGAGGAAGCCACTGGCTTTCTTTCCCTGTCACTAGCCCTTATTCTCAGAGGCAAAGCCAGTGGAGACTAAAGCAGCCTCTAGAGTGACCCAGCGGCGGGCTGAGCACTCTTCCGAAACACTCAAGGCCACAGCTCATGCAGGGAGATGTCAAAGGATCCACAGGATCCTGTTTCCCTATGGAGCACTGTCCCTGAGAGGGTCAGACAGAGGCAACCCCACACCCATGAGTTGGGTGGGCAGGAACAGGCAGTAGGTTCAGACCAAAAAGGAAAATCAGTCACTCTGATTTAGTTGAATCCTCTATTTGGTGGGAAAAGGAAAAAATGGTCAACCTAGGCCACGTTAAATGTTTCAAGCATCCCAGTGACCATCAAATCACTTGCCTCCCCTGGTTTTTGCCTTCACCATGCTTGTGGGCAGCGATGAACCCAGGAGGGCCAGTCTCCAGCCCCACAAGCGCCCCCTGGTGCTGGGTGCAAGGCAGAAACACAGCCTCCAGCAGAGCATCTTGGCTGGACTTAACGATGGGCTCCACTAGTGCTCTATACACCAGAGACGCTTAAGGACTTTTCATATCTTCCTGGGAACGAAGTATGCATTGAGAGAGGCCAGGCCACCAATGGCAGATACACTGAACAGGTGTGGCTGCAGCTCCCCTTCTCCACAATGGCCAACGTTGACAGCCAACCCTGAAACCTTCTGTGGATGAGTGCAAGTAGGCACTCTGGGAGCCACTGACAATTCACTGGAGCTGTGTCTCCACCTTTCCCAGTTCACATAGAATGGGAGGGCAGATCCCTGTAGGGGTGAACACTCACGCCTCCTTTAATGCACTCACAAGATTTCCGGTTGGCCCGGGATCGTTTCCTCTCCCTCGGCACCACTCGCTGACTGGGCACTTGGGTGGCTGACTTGACGATGCGGTCCATGATCTCATCAGCTGCATCGTCTGTGACATTGGGCGAGTCATCAGTTCCCATAGTCCAGGAACTAGTGGATCCTAAGAATTAAACAGCCAGAATGCACAACATACTCAGAAGGAAAATGCGAAAGATGATGCGCAGCACTACTCCTCCAAGCAACTGAGTTCTTTCAGCAACAGATCACAGGGAAGGCCAGAGTTAGAGCCCCAGAGCTAGTGATAGATCCAGAGGGCTAACCTGTCCCCACTGCAGGGAGCACTCTACCCTGCAGGCCCTGTGACTGCTACCCCACAGGCTCTGATCAAACCCATACACGGGGCACTTATTTCATACCACCCTGTAACACAGCTGTGTTCTTGTCTCTCATTATTTAACTCTCCAACCCAGGTGTGTTGTCTTTACCTGCCAGGTCCCATGATCATCTGAGGGCAGATGACCCAAGCCACACCCTGCTGCACAGTCATCAATATCTGGTGGTGCACACCCAGTAATGTAGACACCCACTGAAGGTCTTATTGAGACAGCTCTCTATCCGCGGTTGTATGTGCCTAGTCAATGTCAGCTGACCCTAACTTCTCACTAAGTAGAAAGCAATGGATTTTTATAATACACAGTTTATCTTTGAATTATCTAGCCTTTACTAGACAACTGTAACAGGATTGCCCTCTTTAAACAGCAAAGGGGTTGTTAACTTAAATTTTCTCTGGTACATAAATCTCCTCCCTCAACCACATTTTCTGTAGTTTATAAATTACATATTAAAACAAGTCAGAAGAAAGCATCACCAAAACATGGGTCCCGTGTACAGTCATCCCTCAGTATACAGAGGGATTGGTTCCAGCACCCCCAAGTATATCCAAATCTGTGCATAATCAAGTTCCACAGTCAACCCTGCAGAACTTGAGTTTACAGCCCTCTATACACATGGGCTTCACATCCTGTAAATACTCTATTTTTGATCTGTATTGTTGGAAAAAATCTGCATGTAGGTAGATGTGCTCCATCAAATCCAAGTTGTTCAAAGGTCAACTGCAATGTTAAACAGTTAGAAATTAATGCCAATGTAATATATCCAGAACTACATCTTTGTAATCGATCAGCCTTCTTGTGAAATCTCTTCTATACGATAGTGAATATATGTTGCCACAAGAGGAAAGATGTACAATATGCTCAAAATTGTTAATTTCTACTACCTACACTTCATTTTATAGTAGATGCACAACTACTTCAGAAACCTGTAGGTGAGGATTCTCAGAATCATTGCCTATGGCACAAAAGTACCCCCAGCCTGACTAAAGTATAACACAGGCTAGGGAACTGCCAGCTTTTCCCAACTTGGAGGAAAAAAGGGTTAATAAATAGTTAAAATGTTTGAGTTCTCCCCCACTAATTTTTTTTAAGTGCTTACAACCACCTGACTGGTAATGAATGAACCAAGAAAAATAGATATCAATGGAAATGGTTGGGAACAGTGGATCACAGTTCAATGGACTGTGATTTTCGTGTGTGTGCATGTGTGTGTGTGTGTGTGTATGTGTGTGTGTTAGTTGAAATATTGCTGCAAATACATACTGTGCTATAAAGCAGTCATAATTTCTAATAGTAAAATTCATGACTGAATTAAATACATAAATATTTCACACTTTGCAAAAGGAGAGCCAGGATACCAGGTGCCCTGTCACCTGCATGTACATAAAACCTGTGGCTATAGAACAATGATGTTTTCAAATGGTAAGATTTCTGTTGGCTGGGCACGGTGGTTCACACATGTAATCTCAGCACTTTGGGAGGCTGAGGCGGGCAGATCACTTGTGTCAGGAGTTCCAGAACAGCCTGGCCAACCCAGTGAAACCCCGTCTCTACTAAAAATACAAAAATTCGCTGAGCGTGATGGTGTGCACCTATAGTCCCAGCTACTCAGAAGGCTGAGACAGGAGAATCGCTTGAACCCAGGAGGCAGAAGTTGCAGTGAGCTGAGATCATGCCACTATGTTTCAGCCTGGGCAACAAAGTGAGACTCTGATTTCTGTTATTATTGATACAGGTTTTTTTTGAATTTGTTTTGCTTAGCTTTTATTATTATTATTTTTTAAATGATAGCATACCTACAGCATGGGCACATGCAAAAACAGTAAATTGTACTTTTTGTGCTTATACCCAAGGGAATTTGATCTACTTGCTATTAGGCCAGTTTTTTCAGCATTATAAGCCCTTTAAAAAATAGATTCTTTTCAAAAATAAACTGTTGAAATTGCTGCTGAATGCGTCTGCATTCTCAGAATGGTCAAGGTATTCTAATTGGAAGTAAAAGTCCTTATAATGCCACAGCTTTTAGACTGGGCCTCTGCAGATCCTCTGAACAATAGTCCTCCTCAGAGTAGAGCAATCAATCGTGCAATTGTGTTTTACCCCGCAATTTCCTGTGTTCCCTTTTATCTACTGATGTATAATTCTCTGTCTTACCTTAAAATGCCAAACTACCTTCTAAAAACATGCAAAGCTCAATAAATTGTCTTTGCTCATAATACATTATCAGAGCACTGGGCCAGAAATGAAGGCATCATCTAATCTTCCCTCTGAGAATTACCTATACTTTTCCATCTTACACAACCCTAAGGATCTTCTGTCAATGTAACGTGTCAGGAGATGCTGAAAGGAAACATCTTGCCATAGGTCCAAGATTGTCAAACTCAATTTTATGATGACTTCATTCTCTTAAGACTTCATTCCTGGTTCTACTTTATGTCCGCTCCTCTTGGTTACTTTCCCACTGCCTGATTACCATTTATTTCCATTCTTCCTAGTCATGTATACATTCCTCTTCCTGGAACCCTTGCACCCACACCGTAGCCATCAGGGTAATGCTGCACACACATTTTACATACCCAAGGGACCATGTTAGTTAGTAAGTGTTAGCAAGACATTTGAGATGTGGTGGAGAGGATAAAGCATTCTAGACCATAATAGCACACTATCACTTTACTTTTATATTTCTAAAACATGAAAACTGAGATTTGAAAGCACTGAAGTTTTTCCCTTTATAGAAATCTAATCTAAAGAGTCTACAAGGAAAACACTTAAGTCAAAATGGATATTCTACCGTTTTAATGTAAAAAGTTTGCTCTCATTTCTGAAAGATAATTTATCTGAAGACAGACTTCTGTAGTTGAAGTTATTTCTTCTGGCAGTTTAAAGGTATCATTCCTTTTTTTTCTGGCTTCTATAGTTCCTTTTGAAAATTGAGCCGGCCGGGCGCGGTGGCTCAAGCCTGTAATCCCAGCACTTTGGGAGGCCGAGATGCGGATCACGAGGTCAGGAGATCGAGACCGTCCTGGCTAACACGGTGAAACCCCGTCTCTACTAAAAAATACAAAAAACTAGCCGGGCAAGGTGGCGGGCGCCTGTAGTTCCAGCTACTCAGGAGGCTGAGGCAGGAGAATGGCATAAACCCGGGAGGCGGAGCTTGCAGTGAGCTGAGATCCAGCCACTGCACTCCAGCCTGGGCGACAGAGCCAGACTCCGTCTCAAAAAAAAAAAAAAAAAAAAAAAGAAAAGAAAAGAAAATTGAGCCATCATTATTACCATTGCTCCATAGGAGGCAATATATCTTTCTTTTCTGTTTTCAAGATTTTATCTTTATTTATTTATTTTAGCACTTTGTCTACGGTATGGTTCTCCTTGTACTTACTCTTCTTGGATTTGCTAAGTTTCTTAAATATGTTGGTTGATATTTATCATCAGTTTTGGTAAATTCTCAGCCATCTCTTCAAATCTATTCAATCTCTTCAAATATTGCTTCTGATCCATCTTTTTCCAGTATTCCAATTATACGTTAGACCATTCAACTGTGTCCCTCAGATCTTACATTTTATTCTATTCTTTCCATTTTTTCACTATGCTTCTGTTTGTACATTTTCTATTAACCTGCCTTTGAATCCATTTTTCCTCTTTTGCTGTGACCAATCTCTATTAAGCCCATCCAATGAGTTTCTTATTTCAGATATTTTATAGTTCTGGAATATCCATTTTATTCTTATTTATAGAGTCCAATTTGCTATTGAAATCATCTATCTTTTTACCCATCTGTCTATGTTTCCTTTTAGTTTTTAACATTTATAATGGTCATTTCAAGTCCTTGACTGTAGATTTCAACATCTGAATCACTTATGGGTCTGCTGCTATTATCTAGTTTTCTTCTTGATTTTCAGTCATATTTTCATATTATTCCTCTGGCTTGTAATTTTTACTGTACTGGACTTTGTGTATAGAAGGACATAGAGACTGAAGACAGCGTTATTTTCCTCCAGAGAGTCTTTTCTCTTCTGTTAACAGATACAGTGAGGTACTGAGCTGGGTTTAGGCCAGACAGCAGCTTTAGTTCACAAGCAGTCCACTTCCCACCTCTCTTTTTCTTGAGGCCAAGATCAGTGAGTATCTGTTCAAGGTGCTTACTCTAGCCTATCTTTGTCTCCTCAGTTTAAAGACTGCAGGACATCTCCTTCAACCTTTCTAGCCCAGGATCACCCACTGACCTTCCTCCCTCCAACCCCCATTCCGCAGTGCTGCATTTAGCAAATGTCTCATGAGAAAATCATCTGCATTTTGGCCTCCTCTCAATTTCAATCTCTTATACCAGTTCACACAGCTACTACAAATTCTGCTGGCTTCTCTTTCCCATTTGAGTCACTCCATCACTGTAAGCCCAATCCTCAGCTTGTGCCCAGATTTGGCAAATGCTCACAGAGAGGCAATGTCAGCTCACCTCCAATTCTAGTTTGTCTAGTCCTCTTTCCTTTTACAGTTCTATAATGTTTTTTAAAAGAAGGCTCGATTATTTTTATTTCTAGTTGTAGCAGGTGGGTGACTTGTCACTCCGTAACACATGACACATGAAAGCAGAAGTCTCCCTTGAGATGGGCATTAATGTGCAGAGAAACTGAACAGCCTCCCATTCTAATCCCTTTCATATGCCAGCAAAGATGACCCCATGTTGTACAGACTCAGCAACATCTTTTCTCTTCATCCTTTCTGGTCAGGAATAGATGTTTCTTTTCCTTTAAAACTGGTACAACCTGTTTATGTTCCGTTACTGAGATCCACCCCCTAAGAAGGCTTCAACTGCACTCCTCTTGCATCCACCAAGGCACAGGGGCTCAAGGCTCCAGCCTGATGGCTGGGGTCACCATGGTGCAGGCATTAATGCTCTCCTTCACATCCCTGTTGGCCATGTTCAGCCTAGCATACAAAGCCTGCAAGAGCTGCTGGCCACAGAGAGGCTCATAACATGGGATGTCTTAGGCCTTTTTGGGTGCCACAGGGTGTGGAGGTGAATGGAGGTGAATGGAACGGGACAGGCAGAGGAGCGGGCATCCTGAACTGAGGGAGCAGCATGAGAAGAGTGGGGACTCCGGGACATGCAGGGTGCTGAGAGGCGCTTTTCTTCACCATGCAGGGTGAAGGAAAGCCAAGCTTGGGAGACAGGACAGGACCTGCCTACAGGAGCCTCCAAGAATAGTGTGAATAGTGTGGGCTTCACCCTGCAGGCAGTGAGGAAACCCAGGAGGGTAAACGGGTTATCAGGCCAGACCAAGGAAACACGAGGAAACATTCACAGATGTCAAATGCATCTTAATCCCTTCTAATGATAAAAACAAATCTGGAAACTCGAATCTGGCCACCATTTTGAAGTTTCAGTTTTTGTCTCTGCCTAAGGATGTAAAAAAGGGACCAAGGCGTAGTGCTGTACGGAGGGGTTGGCAACCTTGTCCTGTGTAGTAGATGTTTTAGGCTCTGTGGGTCCTACAGTGTCTGTCACAGTGGCTCAACTCTGCCAAAGTAGCCACAGACACTACACAAAGGAGTAAGTATGGCTGTGTCCCAACAAAACTTTATTTCTAGAAGCAGGGAGAAGGCTAGAGTTGGCTTGCAGGTCACAGTCTGCCCGCCCCAGCTCTCCCTCGGGAGATCACCCCCGTAAGGATTCCCTCTGTGTGAACTGAGGTACTCTCATGGGAATGTTTGTTTTGGAGATGAAGCTATTGAAGGTGGGTCAGGAAGACGCTAGTGAAGGAATATGTGTGGTTAGGTTGGCACTGGAGCTGAGGGCCAGTCACAGCCATGGACCACAGCCTGCCATGGAGACTGGACCCCCCTGGAGTGGCCAACCTGAGAAGACAAGATGAGCCCCATGCAGCCAGGAGTTACCTCGGCTTGCTCGGCTGCGTGTGCGGACGCCCAGCGCGGGGGTGGCGTCCTCCACGGAGGGGGACGAGGTTTTCAGTACAGCCTTCATGTTCTCGTGCTCAGCCGCATCCTCCGCATAGCTCAGACCCTGCGGCTGGCTTGGGGGCGCCGGAGAACTGCCGGAAAACTTGCCGGACTGCAAAACCAAGGGGAAGTTAGCAGGTGAGGGAGACTCCCCAAAAAGACAACTCAAGCTTCTAAAACCCATGGTTGAGGAAAACCTTCTCTCCTCTGTCTTGTTTTGTTTGCAGACACATTCATTACAGCAGTCACTGAAATTGTTAACTAATGACAAAACATCTGTGCCTACAGGAAGATCTAATATGAGACAGAAAAGCCCCCAGCCCCCAGAAGGACCATCACCCATTCATCCATTGTAGTGGTCTCTCTCACTCACTCAGATCCCCTCAAAGGGTGGCTGCCAGGAGCGACTGGCATTGGTTCTGGGAAGGTCTAAAGCCAAATGTGTTTCTAACACCAAAGCCCTGATATGAGAATTGAAATGAAATATGCATTGTTAACCAAGCATATTAGGCTTTATTTTTTTACTTAGTGCCAGAAAGCAGTTAAATTTTCCTTAAGTATCACTTACGATGGTAGAATTACAAAAGTGGGATTTAGTCACAGAATTCTAGCATGTTAAGAGTTGGGAAGAATTCTTCTAGACCTCGTCCCATCTTGCTTTTATGGAAAAGAAAACTGAGGTCCTTCAAGAATACGTGCTTGCCAGGGACCCCAAAAGAATTAGTGTCAGGGCGCAGAACAGAACAAGACACAGAAATTCATGCTGATTTTCTCTAACTGAATAAAAGGTCAGGACATACATATTTTAAAAGAGGTATGCTGGAATACGATACGTACACAATGCCAAACACCTGGATGAAGAACAAAAAGTCAGATTAACATTTGCAAAGAATAGCTCCACAGATTGCTGGCTTCCTTTGTCACCCAGTGTTTCAGCCACGGCAACAGGGTTGGGGACCTATCTGTGGCTTGTAGCATCTACACAGCTCTCTCCTCATTTTCCAGGGCCAATTAGCCCCCCTCGGTCTCTGGTTCTCGCACCTGCATCCAGGGTCTGGTGAGGAGCCCCTGCCATCTACCACTGCATGGACACTGGCCCATGGGAGCCATTAACACCAGCAGAGGAAATGGGCACACATCGGAGGCTGCCTACTGGCTGGGGGCCGAGACTCTAGCCTGGCCCTTGGCCAGTGCCCTGCTTCCTCTTTGATTTCAGGCCTCTTCATGTGGTTATTCCGGAATCTAGTTCTCATATTTAAATTGCCAAAGGAAAATTGTCTACTTTTCCAGCAGCAGGGAGAGACCTGCTAAACCTGCCACTTGTGACATGGTTACTGATTAGCTAGGCCTCAGGGACAGGTCAGAAAATGCATTTAACCCTTCAGTCCCTGGCACACGTGGCATGATGAGGGCCCCTGTCAGGTGGTTAGTGATCACACGAAAACCAACCAGAAAAATGTCCATGCATTGTTTAAAGCACTGAATGGTGCTGACACTTCATGCTGATTATGTTAGGTTAGACCAGAGCATACATGAGGCGGTCAAATGTGGCATTCTTCATGTTCATAAATAGTCATACCTCAACTTCCTCCTCGTCATCAGTCTACCCGAGAGGACAGGACAGGACAGGACAGGACAGAAAAGACAGAAGGGATTCTTAGAAGGCACAGAAGTCAGCAAAAAGATCATCTCAATGGCACATAAGATTCCAAGTAAATAAATTGTCACCACAACCAGGATACATCCTCTGGAGTTGGGAGCTGCCAGGCCCCACCCTCTTGTCCTCATCTGGACACTCCTTGCCTGAACTCCAAGATCACCCGTGACCAGAGAGACTTACAGGGCTCCAGGTCAATCTTCTGGGGCTGTCCCTGAGGTCAACAGTCAGCTTATTTGGTTCCCTGACTAGCACCAACCTCACTTGCAGCTCTGCATCCTGCTAAGAGTGTCCTGCTCTGTGAACCATATGACAATACTGGCCACATCCTTATGAACCCATCACTGCCTGACAGTCATCAAGGTCTCTCTAAGTGGACTGGTTTCCACTTGCTTGGCTCTGCCTGTCAGCTGCCGGCCCTCCCATCCCATCCCAAGCGCAGGATCCCTCCCTGCCCAGGCTGCCGGTCTGGGCTACCACTAGTCCTTCCACATGCAGGCCAGCCAGGACAAGTGGGACAACGGCTCCAGCCGCGTGCTCAGATTACTCTCTCCTCAGGAGCATGAAATTAATTCCTTTATAATATCTTACCTGTTTCTCATGGTGGCCACCTGAACTGACTCTCCGTACTTTTAATTACTTTAGCACTAAACTGCTTTAAGTTACTTTAAATAAAATATCCCTCTTCTAAAATAAATTGAGAGTGAAAAGTCATGTCAATCTCTTGATCATAAATTAAACACACTTTCAATTTAGGAGTGTCCATGAGGTTACAGGGCCAGGCCAGCAAATCAGATTAAAGTGTTTTGAGAATGAACTACGCTTTTGGAAGTTAAAATGACAAACCACTTCCAGTCCATCACATTCCACACTGCCTCACCCAAATGGCATTGTGACAAGAGACGACAGCCCTGTTCCATTACTCTTTTAAAAAAAATCTTATTTATATAACCTGGGAAGGCTGGCATTTTTCCAGAAATTCACACATGTTCAAGGTGCTACATATATAAAATCTTGGCCCTCTCAGCATCCCTAAAAGTAATCATCATTCCCTTTCTATAAAAGAGGAAGCTGGGGTTGAGAGAGGTTAAGGGTCTCTCCCAGGATTACTGCTCCCTCCAACATGGGAGGCCTGGGATTGACCAGCCTGGGTTCTCACAGCCCACATCGGGAGTGTGAATGCGGCAGAAAGGCTGTAGTTGCCTTGTGTTGCCTTGTCTATGTCGCCATTTGGTCTAGGGACAACTTTGTACACAGGATGAGGAATTAGTTGCTCACTGATCCTGGCCTGGCAAGACCCTTTGATGATGAGAAAGGAAGCCTTCTGAATACCCAGAAACAGGGAGAGAAGAACAAAGGTAGGTACTCAGGAGCTGGTGCTTGGGGGCTGCAGATTTTACCCTCAGACCTCTCATCTCTAAATGCTACCACTTGCATCCTCGTTTTATTCAGCATGTACATTCAAGGTGACTTACTACAAACAGTTTTCTTTAAAATCTCTTCTAGCTCCAACTTTCAGGGGGTCTGTGATTCTAAGTCTATAGTCTGGCTTTGTTTTCAGTGGTTTAAGTTGTGTATATGCCATTTTTAACCAGGTTATGATGTCCTTGGGATATAAGCTTTTCTTTATACTCATATCTTCCTTGGTTTCCCAGGCCCTGCTGGGTGCACAATGAGCCCTTAATAATTGAGTTGCAAAAACCCGAGGCTGTACACTTTTCCTTAAGGGACAATACCCTAATCTTCCAGCAGAGGGCAATCTTTCTACATGAATGATGCCACTTTGGCCATTAAAAACATGGACCAGGCTGGGAATGATTCCTGATGGAAGCCTGTCCTGTCCAGATTTTAATGGGAATTTAAATATTTTTCAATCAAACTCTAGAAACATTCACCTCTGTTTATGATTGGGAAAGCCAAATGTTTTCGGAGACAGAATTTAAAAATTAGTGGGATCTGTAAAAAATCTCAAGAATTTAGCAAGAAATTTTGATGTATCCACATAACTATAAGCATATTCGGCTTGTATTTTTCACCCTCCAATGTGTCTCATAGCCACAAAAATAAGCAATTCCTGTTTTTAAACTTTAAAAAATAATACTATGAATAAAATGTGGGCTACAGTTTGCCCTAGTCGATCCAACATGCTTCCTGGGTTGCTGTCCTCCAAGTGGCTAAGGATCCTACTGAACTGAGATTTCAGGAGAGGAGACAGAAGACTCTTGGCTGATGGTACTGGAATTCAGAACTGCTTGGGTCGGGGGTAGAGCTGTAGAAAGGGCTCCTTCTGCAGAAAAGTGACCTGAGCACTTCCTAGAGGTCTAGAAAATTCCAAGAAAACAAGGAGCTTACGTAAGAGAAATGATTATCCCATGGTTCTTAAAATAACAACAAAATTGGTAAGTTAATGCATCTGGCCTTCCATGTAAGTCAGGCCCTCAGGAATGTGGACTTCCAGAGAGCAGTAACCAAGTGCCCTCTGCTTGGCTGACTACATACACACATGTCTGTGCACACAGGGCGGCCTCAGTGAGGTCTTCCTAATTGGTTGTCTTCCTCCCCCCAAAAAATCTGCCTGACTAGGGTTCAGTTGAAATGTGTAATTGCCCAGATGATGGCACGCCCTGTGGCTTAATCCTTTCCTCATTCCATTCCCTCTATTGCCAGAAGTCCATGTGCTACTCAAATGCATGCACAGATGGGAGAAATCCATGGGCATCAATCCAAACCATGAAAAAAAAAAATCACACTCTAGAGTCCTTCAACAAGTTCCACATATGACATGTCAATATCAAAAAGATGACTTTATTATCGTTGAGTCTGTTCAAGAAAGAACAAATAGTGACTAAAGGAGGATTCCCAGAAAATTTCAGCCTTTTGCCTGGAATTGACCTTACAGTAATGGATGAGGTAAGTGAGATACTAGCCTGGTTTTTATGCTTTGTAAAGGCAGATTAAGAAAAAGGAACCTGTGCTATGTATCTCCGTTGGTCTCTGGCATCTTCATGTATCCCTTCACACTCCACTTTACTGAGCATCTGTCATCTGAATACGCACTGCCCCCCAAGACCTGGGTGGGCTTGGGGCTGAGACGGGAGAGATGGGGAAAGAGCCCAAGAGCAGGGCAGACATGTAAGTGTGCAGGGGCTCCCCAGGGTGCTATAGGGAAGCTCCTACTGGATTCGCTGTCATTTGGGATCTCTTTCCACCCTGATGTCTCATGATTCAAGGGACTGGCGATAGCCCATTAGATTATATCTTTGAGCAATCACATCAATTTATTCAGATGCCCAAAATGGGTGGTCCATGTGTCAACTGATTGGTTACTTAGCACCGTTATGATGATTAAAATCGTGACTCAATTCCCCAATGTACATTTGTCTTTCTATGATAAGTGCCATTATCGTTTATATTTTTCTTGTCTTCACCCAACTTTATCCACATCACAGAGGTAAAAATAGAACCAAACATTTAATGTCATCAGCAACATGCAACACACCAAAATGGGTTCCATGTTCCTATTCTAGCCACACGTTCTGAACTTTACATCTCCTAGGTCCTTGTTTGTTATATAGCAGATTTTCACAGAAATGGTGGAGGAGTACTTTAAGAGCACCTTTTCAAAGAAAGAATTTTTTTTTAATACTCAAAAAAAAAAAAAAAAAAGGCATAGCTTTTAACTGTGGGGAGAATTCCTGATTGATCTTACTTTGAAAACGAATGACATAAGGAAAGAGACTGTGTGAAACTCACATCAGTGATCATCTTCCCTCTGGTCTTATTTCTTTCTCTGTGGTTGGCCCGTTTCTGTTTCTGCTGCAAAACCCTTTCCCTGGTTGTGCGATACTCCAGTGCAAATTCACTAATGATCCTGCAGAATTTGTTTATGTTCACTTCCCGAATTGCGTAAGGTGGATGGCCCATAAAGAGTAAAAAGGAGTGGAATCTGCAAGGAAAAAAACAGTAATGGCAATGACTTCAGTTTTCAGAAATAAAAGTTACTTGTCTAAAATGTCTCAGTAAGAAATCAATGTCAGAACTTAAAAAAATAAATACTGCTACTACTACTACTACTACTAAAGAAACCAACAAGCCACACTCTCAGTAAGAAGACACTGTCCTTCATTCCTGGGGCTTTGAATTTTAAGAGTCTTCTCAAATGAAAATGCAAACAGAAGTTCAACTCACTTTCCCAGTGATGGAGGTTATATCTAGGTGGTAGGACTTCAACAGATGACTTTTTCATTTTGCATACCTGTGTTTTAACGTTTTTCTAAAATGGATATATGTAAAACTTTTGTAAGAAAAATGTTAAAGTGGTATTTTAGAAAAATATTGCACCATTTCTAGATTATATGAGAATTGAATAGGAATAAAGAAATGTTGCTTAGAAATTCTTTTAATGAACACTTAAAACTGACATGAACTTATGAATAACATGTTAATCCACAGTTTGTAAATAGATGCTGTTTTCTGAGTAAATACTTTTAAACATTTCTTGCGATATTACATATAATCTTAATTTAATTAGGAAACACCAAAGAAGCAGAAAATAAATTTATTTTACCTACTTAATTTGTAAACAAAAATGATTAGACATTGTTTTAAAATGTTGTAAAAGAAATTACATGAGCAAATAAGTAGCCAATTTTTAGTTATTAGGAAATGAGAAGGAACACAGCAGGAGACAGAGGGAAAGCTTTCTGTGGAGCAAACAATATTATGCAAATGATACCACTATTTATAGACAAAAAATTTTGATCACTCTGATTTGTACAGTTTGAATATGGATTTTTTTAAAAATAAGGGACACTGGCTTACTCTTTTTGAGAATAATGAAGTAAACGTATAACTTGTATTTAAAGTAAAGGGCCTAAAAAATGATAGCCAAAACTACACAACGCTTAGAAGAAAACAAAGTAGAAATCTTTATGACTTTGGATTAATGTTTTTAGATATGACAACCAAAGCATAAATGACCAAAGTAGATAAACTGGACTTCATTAAACTTAAAGACCTTTGTGTTTCAAAGGATATGATCAAGACTAAAAAGACAATCTAAAAGATAGGAGAAAATATTTGCAAGTCATGTGTCTAATAAGGGACTTGTGTCAGAATATATAAAGGAATCTTACAATGCAACACTAAAAAGACAAATAAAAAATGGACAAAGGATTTGAATAGACATTTCTCCTAAAAAGATATGCACACAGCCAAGAGATACATGAAAAGCTTCTCAACATCACTAAGGAATGCACATCAGAACCACAAGGAGACACCACATACACCCACCAGGATGGCTGTAATAAAAGAGACAGGCTAGAACAAATGTTAGTGAGGATGTGGAAAAATTGGACCCTTTCCACAGTGCTGGCAGGAACATAAAATGGTTTAGCAGCCATAGAAAATGATCTGGCAGTTCTTCAAAAAGATAAACAGAGTTATTATATGACTTAGCAATTTTTCTCCTTTGCATAAAAAGAAATGAAAATATGTGTACACACAAAACTTTCTGCATGAAAGTTCATAGGAGCATTATTTATAATAGCTGAAAGTGGAAACAACCCAAATGTCCATGGACAGATAAACTAAATATAGCATTGGATGGATATGATGGATATAATGCATGGATAAACTAAATATAGCATTTCCAAATAAGGCGGTGGATGACTGGTCCCATCACCTCTCTGACTTCACCTCTTGTGACTCCAGCTACACTGGACTCCTAGTTATTCCCTGAAAAAGCCCACCTCAGGGCCCCAGACACCATGTGTAGTGTACAGGAACCCTAGAGGGACACAGAAGTCAAGGAGCTGAAAGCCTGCAGGGCCTGTGGGGAGGGGTGAGGAGGCCACTCCACAGGGTAGGACCATAGGTCTGACAAGGTATCCAGTACCAGCTGTTCCCCATGCCTAGAACATTTTCCCCACTGACAGCTGCATGGATGGCTCTCACTCATCCCACAGGTCTCTGCCCAAAATACCACCTCCTCTGAGAAGCCTTCCCTGACCACCCTGCGTCAGGTCACTACCTAACCATTTATACTCTTATTTTTTCTTTCTGGCTCTTATTACCACTTGACATTATATATTAGATATATGATATGATATTAGGATTGGATAGTACAATATAACAACTATTCAAGATCTGTATGCAGGAAGATTTGAAGGGAGAATCCATCAGCCCACAGCTAGTTAACCACTTCACCTCATTCTAATATATTAATGTTCTAGGTCCTACTTTATACATAAATACAACCCAAGATTCTTTATCCTACACTTTCTAGAGCATTGTTTTTAGATGCACAGGGGATCCAAACTTAACATATAAATTGGAAATGTTATTTAAGCATGTATTTTACAAACAAGGAGAGTAACAACAAACAAGTAAAGGTCTGAAAAAGATCCAGATACACATTTGAAAAGAGAGAGATTATAGTATTCCTTCAGAAGAACAAGAAGGATATGACTTTGAGGCCGTAAAACTTTTAAGGAATTTTTTTCAGTTTAGTTTGTAACTTTTAGAATACATGATATGAAGATCATATGGTTATGGGCAGGGTGGCCCCCCTAACCAGTACTCCAAAGCACAAGTCAGACATCTTTGATCTGTTCCATCATCTGCCTCTTACTCAAGCCTGCCACTGAGTAGTGTGTCTGGCCCAGAATGGGGAGGGGTGGACTTTGGGCAATGGCACACCAGTCTTGGTGTTTACTTGTCTTCTGTCTGTCTTTCCCCCTTGAATGGCCGTCCATTGCTGTAGTTTGCTAGGCCTCCCAGGAAGGCTTTTGATGTGGTTTGACTGTGTCTCCACCCAAATCTCATCTTAAATTGCAGTTCCCATAATTCCCATGTATCGTTTAGGGACCAGGTAGAGATAATTGAATCATAGGGGCAGTATCCCCCATCCTGTTCTTGTGATAGTGAGTGAGTTCTCACAAAATCTGATGGTTTTATAAGGGCTTTCCCGCTTTACTCGGCACTTCTCCTTGCTGCCGTTATGTGAAGAAGGACGTGTTTGGTTCCCCTTCCACCATGATTGTAAGTTTCCTGAGGCCTCCCCAGCGGTGCAGAACTGTGAGTCAATTAACCCTCTTTCCTTTATAAATTACCCAGTCTCAGATATGTCTTTATTAGCAGCATGAGAATGGACTAATAACAGTTTTCTTCTCCTCCTCTCCCCTGGTCCCTCTCTGTGCCTTTCACAGTGCAACTGTAGCCTAATGGATCTACAGGAGTGAGTGGGTGGGTCTGCACATCCAGAGAGTACAAAAGGATAAAAGGAAAGGTTAATATGCACGTTTAAGAATTAAAGACAAAATCCACATGATTATCTCAATAGACACAGAAAAGACTTTCAACAAAATTCAACACCCTTCATGTTAAAAACACTCAATAAACTAGGTATTAAAGGAATATACCTCAAAATATAATAATAAGAGCCATCTATGACAAATCCACAGCCAGTATCATACTGAGTGGGCAAAAGCTGGAAGTGTTCCTCTTGAAAACCAGCACAAGACACGGATGCCCTCTCTTACCACTTATATTCAACATAATGTTGGAAGTTCTGGTCAGGGCAGTCCGGCAAGAGAAATAAAGGGCATTCAAATAGGATGAGAGAAAGTCAAACTATCTTTGCTGGCAAATGACATGATTCTATATCCAGAAAACTCCATCATCTCAGCCCAAAAGCTCCTTCAGCTGATAACTTCAGCAAAGTTCCAGATACAAAATCAATGTACAAAAATCACTAACTTTCCTATACACCAACAACAGTCAAGCTGAGAGCCAAATCAGAAAGCCAATCTCATTCACAATTGCCACGAAAAGAATAAAATACCTAGGAATACAGCTAACCAGGGAGGTGAAAGATCTCTACAATGAGAATTATAAAACACTGCTCAAAGAAATCAGAGATGACACAAACAAATGGAAAATATCCCATGCTCAGGAACTGGAAGAACCAATATCATTAAAATGGCCATACTGCCCAAAGCAGTTTACAGATTCAATGCTATTCCTATCAGACTACCAAAGACATTCTTCACAAAACTAGACAAAAACTTTAAAAATTCATATGGGACAAAAAAAGAGCCTGGATTACCAAGGCAATCCTAAGCAAAAAGAACAAAGCTGGAGGCATCACACTACCCAACTTTATAATACAGGGCTACAGTAATTGCAACAGCTTGGTACTAGTACAAAAACAGACCCATATACCAACGGAACAGAATAGAAAGCCCAGAAATAAGGTCGCACACCTATGACCATCTGATCTTTGACAAAGCTGACAAAACAAGCAATGGGGAAAAGACTCTCTATTCAATAGAGGGCGCTGGGATAACTGGCTAGTCAAATGCTGAAGATTTGACCCCTTCCTTACACTACACACAAAAGTCATCTCTAGATGGATTAAAGACTTAAATGTAAAACCCAAAACTATAAAAACCCTAGAAGACAACCTAGGCAATACCATCCTGGACAGAGGAACAGGCTGACAAAGATACCAAAAGCAATCACAACAAAAGCAAAAATTGACTAATGGGATCTAATTAAATTTAAGAGGTTCTGCACAGCAAAGGAAACTATCAACAGAGTAAAGAGACAACCTATAGAGTGGGTGAAAATTTTTGCACACTATGCATCTGACAAAGGTCTAATGTCGAGCATCTTTAAGGAACTTAAACAAATGTACAAGAGAAAAATGAACAACCCCACTAAAAGTGGGCAAAGGACACGAGGACATGAACACACTTTTTTTTTTTTTTTTTTGAGATGGAGTATCACTGTCACCTAGACTGGAATGCAGTGGCACCATCTCGGCTCACTGCAAGCTCCGCCTCCTGGGTTCACGCCATTCTCCTGTCTCAGCCTCCCAAGTAGCTGGGACTACAAGTGCCTGCCACCATGCTCGGCTAATTTTTTTTCTTTATTTTTAGTACAGACGAGGTTTCACCGTGTTAGCCAGGATGATCTCGATCTCCTGACCTCATGATCTGCCCGCCTTGGCCCCCCAAAGTGCTGGGATTACAGGCTTGAGCCACCGCACCCGGCCCTGAACCGACACTTTTTAAAAGAAGACATACATATGACCAACAAGAATACGAAAAAAAAAGCTCAACATCACTGATCACTAGAGAAATGCAAATCTAAACCACAATGATATACTGTCTCACATCAGTCAAAATGGTTACTAAAACGTCAAAAAACAACAGATGTTGGTGAGGTTGTGGAAAAAAAGGAACACTTATACACCGTTGGAGTAAATTAATTCAACTATTGTGGAAAGCAGTATGGTGATTCTTCAAAGAGCTAAAAGAAGAACTTCCATTCGACCCAGCAATCCCATTACTGGATATATACCCAGAGGAATATAAATTATTCTACCAGAAAGACACACGCACACGGATGTTCATTGTAGCCCTAATCACAATAGCAAAGACATGAAATCAACCTCAATGCCCATCAATAACAGACTGGATAAAGAAAATGTGGTACATATGCACCATGAAACACCATACATCCATAAGAAAGAACGAGATCATGTCTTTTGTGAGAACATGGATGGAGCTGGAGGCCATTATCCTTAGCAAACCAACACGGGAACAGAAAACCAAATATCGCATGCTCTCATTTATAAATGGGAGCTAAATTATAAGAACTTATGGACGCAAAGAAGGAAACAACAGACATGGGGTCTACATGAGGGTGGAGGGTGGAAGGAGGGAGAGGAGCAGAAAAGATAACTATTGGATACTGGCCTTAATACCTGGGTGATGAAATAATCTGTACAACAACCCCCCATGACACGAGTTTACCTATGTAACAAACCTTAACATGTATCCCTGAATCTAAAATAAAAGTTAAAACAAATGCAGGTTTAAACATCTAAAACAAAATTTTCTTAGCCAGGAAACAGTTTTGAAAACTAGGTTTTACCTAAAGAGACAGCTTTTTGAAACTTTTTTATCTGAAGTCAAAATATAAGTATTTAGGCTCATTTGCATGACTAAGATGATCCCACTGGTTACCAGCTATAAGGCCCTGAACTAGGGTTCTTCTCCTTTCTGTGCCTCAGTTTCTCAATGTGTTAAGTTAAAAAAAAAAATCATGTCTGGGCACGATGGCTCAAGCCTGTAATCCCAGCACTTTGGGAGGCCGAGACGGGCGGATCACGAGGTCAGGAGATCAAGACCATCCTGGATAACACGGTGAAACCCCATCTCTACTAAAAAAAATACAAAAAATTAGCCAGGCGAGGTGGCTGGCGCGTGTAGTCCCAGCTACTCGGGAGGCTGAGGCAGGAGAATGGCATAAACCCGGTAGGCGGAGCTTGCAGTGAGCTGAGATCCAGCCACTGCACTCCAGCCTGGGTGACAGAGCGAGACTCCGTCTCAAAAAAAAAAAAAAAAAAAATCACAGCTGTCCTCAGCTATGATCCTGAGGACTGTTGGTGGGAGGGGGAAGGAAAAACAAGGCACAGTCCTTGGGGCTCTCAGTCCTCCATCTCAATTTCAACAAGAGAGTCCTGCTATAATCAGTTCTACATGCAGGGCTCCAGCTAAAGACTTCATTTGAACCCAGGGTTCTACGGTTTAGATAGTTTGGATTGGCCACTTCCTGGTACCACTTCCCTTTAGTCACACCCCTTTTACTACCCACACCAAAACCACAGTGAACTTCTGGCTCCTCCTGGTCATCCACAATGGGATGTAGACAGGTGAGGTGGGAGCAGCCATCATCTGGGTGACCAGCTTACCAAGGAGAATGGGACAATCAGAGCAAATACTTTAGAGCTTAAGAAATAGACATACCACCAAACAGTTTTTAATCTGTCTGGGATAAAATGGTTACCGTAACCAAGCTCAACAGCTTTATAAAACGTTCAAAAAATTACTCCAATTTCATGACATTCCAAATAATAGTTGGTGTTCTCTCTCTCTCTCCCTCTCTTTCTCTCTCTCTCTGTGTGTCTTTGTGTGTTTTAAATGGGGAATTGCTTGCATAATACAAAGCACAGAGGGCCAAACCAGCTCACATTCCCTGCCTCTTTGATTTCAGTAAGAAATCTGACAAAATCTCTTAAAAGTTCCCTTGAGGAAGGAAGGACAGCCAGAACGTCTAGATAGAGTACAGTCAGGGAGATTTATAGTTGAACAATTAAATTCCAAATGAACTGATTAACAGATAGTTGTCAACCTGGAGGGAAGATTCTGCTCCTTATTTTTGTCCTGTCCAACATTTAAAAACTACTTGCCATTTTCTCAGCGGTCTGGATGAAGACCCTGGGAGCATGATTATCAAAGCAGAAACTGACACAAGCTGGGAGAGGGTTCATGTGCAGATAAAAGTATCAGGTTTTTAAAAGTTCTGTATAGGCTTAAGAAAAGTGAAAGGAGATGAGGAAAGAAGGGAAAGGCAGGGAGGGAGGGAGGAAGGAAGAATGGGTGAGGGTCCCTCAACTGTGTTCTGTGACAAAGCAAAGGAGAAGAGAGTGGTAGCCATGGTAGGAAAGGCCCTGGCCTGGGAAGTTAGAAGATCCAGGTTCTAGTCTTCGGGCTGCCACTGCTTTCTGGTGGCACAGCCCTGGACAGCCATGGGTAGTTCCAGACCCCATTCTCCTTGTGGGAAAAACAAGGTTGGACACCTCACAGCTGTGTCTCCAGGGTCTTCTGGGATCCTGTGACTCTGAGGAGGGCTGGTCTAGAGGACCGTGCTGTGATGGAGCCTGGACCTCATTCAGGTAGGCTATAGCATAGAGCAGCTGTTGGAGGATCCATTACTGGAAGGTCCTCTGAAGGCCAGCTGCAGATCAGGTAAAAGAGGAACTTTTCTAACAAAGAGAGTTGCCTTGAAAGGGAGTGTCCTCTCTATAGGTGAAATTCTTCCAGCAGACCCAGAGATGCAGGGTTCAATTTGTTAGGAATCTTACAGATGCAGTTCCTGATAGGTAGGATTTTTGGATCAAATTATTTCTGAGATTCCTTCCAACTTTGAGATTTGATGGCATTATATTATTAAGAAAAATTAATTAGCCATGAAACTGTTAAACATCTGTATCATCAGTGTACTTGCTATGTACCAAGAATGTGCAAAAATCTGTAAATTTAACCATCAGCTCTTAATTTGCAGCACAAATTTTTCAATATGCCACTGTACTGATTTTCTATAAGTTCCTCAATCCACTTACCTGTTGATTATCCTTCTATGGACAATCTTTAAAATTATAATTCGCTCTGCACAGTCTTTCAGGAACTCTGACATCCGTTGTTTTAAAACTGGTTTCATTTCGTGTTTTGCAATTGCCTTGAGGTGATCCCATGAAGCCTTGCATCTTCTCTCCATCTGACATAAATTATCCTGAAGTTGATCAAAGTCAACCTGAAAATCAGAGCGAGAACATTGCAAACACACTGAAACCGCCAGACACCAACCTGAATTGGGAGACCAAACTGCCTCTGGGGAGAAACAAACATCAAAACCAAATTCACATCTTGAAATACAAACATATTTACAGGCTAAAAATTATTCACATGTGTATTTGTCATTATCTTGACATCACATTATTTAGTGATAAAACTGTTCTCCAAATGAACTCAATACATGTGTCACCTTTTTTGGCCATATTTGGAAATAAATCTTTGGGAACTATAAATTAAAACATGATATCAAGGAACCCTAGAACAAGATGAACTAAGATGTCTCATAAATTTTTTTCAGAGCACTCTTATTCTTCAGCGATAATATTTCTCTTAAAGTTGAGGAATGCACCCTAGTCCGACGAGGATGGCTCTGCTATGCTGGGGACCAACTAATGGGCAACCACCTTCTCTTCGTGATGATCTCCTTTATAGTGTGAGTGACAAGTTGTTTTATTCACCTACCCACTCACTCATTCCACCAACACTCACGGAGAAACTACACCAGTCTCTAAGCCAGGCACTGAACATAAACACAAATGCTGAATGAGACAACTTCCTGTTCTCAAAGAGGCTGACTGTACACACAGGCGATTCCCAAACTCTGAAAGACACATAGCCCCCACCAGGCCCGTGTGTGCCTGTGTGTGGGTGTGAGGGTTGCCAGCAGATGCACCTCACACATGCAAGGGACAGATGTGACAGAGCGCTGGCTGTGAATTCAGGGACGTGCAGACAGGCTGGATTGCCTGAAGGAGGCTGAGACGAGGTTTTCTAAGGTGATGATTTTATAGAATTTCCAGACTAAAAATTACATAAATCAGAGAGATTTTTAGTCATGAGAAAAATACATCAGAGGGCCACATTTAATAGAGGGATGGGGAAAGAAATTGAGAAGGACGAGAGCGGAGGAAGAAATAGATAAATAAGTGGGTGAGCTGACAGGAGGGGACTGAGGTGGATGGAAAGTAGCTAAGATGAGAAAGGCTGTGTCCAGCAAGCAAAAGCCAGAGCAGCAGGAGTTGCGCGGGGGTGAGCAGGAGGTGCGCGGGGGTGAGCAGGCGGTGCGCGCGGAGGGTGCGGGCGTGAGGGATGAATGGGAGGTGCACGGAGGGTGTGGCGGGGGTGTTGAGCGGGAGGTGCGAGGAGGGTGCGGGGGTGAGGGATGAATGGGAGGTGCGCGGAGGGTGTGGCGGGGGGTGTTGAGCGGGCGGTGCGAGGAGGGTGTGGGTACAGGAATGAGTGGCAAGTACGCGGAAGGTGCGGCGGGGGGCTGAGCGGAAGGTGCGTGGAGGTGAGCAGGTGCCTGGAGGTAAGGAGCCACTGACAGAGGCAATGCGCAGGGCCTGCTGAAGCCCACAGGGGACTTGCTGGAGTGACCTCAGACCTCCAGGCCCATCCTTAGGAGGACAATGTAGGGGAAAGAGTCCGCAAAGATGGATTTTGTGAGAGGATCTGTGGCACCAACAGGATGAAGACACGCAGTGTCGTGTCTGGTGCGAAGCAGGGAGGCGTGCAAGACACCGTATGTACTTGACTTCCTGATGCTACTGCATCAAAAAGAGAAGGCGAGTTTAGGCAGAGCCCCTGGGATTCAAGTATGCAGGGTTTCATGGCACTTTGAGGAAAATGATTTGTCTGAAACCAAAGGAATCTTGAGTCCAGATAGGAAAGGCTTCGCTTTCTCATGATACAATGAGGCTTAGAAAAAAATTCTGATAGGCCAGTTCAGGGTCCCCTCCTCGGTGCACCTGGCAGAGGCCAGCCTGCGGCTCTGGAGGTAGGTGGAGGAGGCTCTCAGCCACCAGGTCCCCACAAGCCAGGGCTGTGGCAGAAGGCAGACAGAGAGGAAGGGCCCCTTGAAGCAGGCCTCAGCAGCCAACCCACATCCTTCCCCACCTTTGCCCACCACTCTCTCTCTTCCTCTCATGCTGGATTCCAACACACCCCAGTACTGCTGGCTCTCATGCTCCAGCCAGGGGTGTTTCTAGAAGGTTCCTTCACACTGGCCTGGTTGCTATACCCTATTTTAAGGGTGTCTTTCACCCCTGCCCCCTACCCTAGTGAGTTTCCTGTGCTCCTAAGACCTTCACATCTCCCAGTTCTGATGTGTCTGGAATCCCTCCAGGGGCTGGTCAGCCTCAGTGACCCCCTACACTAGAGGCAGCCAGGTGTCCACATACTGCGACTGTCTCTTTTCTAATGAAGCATAAGCTCATGAAGATATTAACTCTGCACTTGCTTTAAGAGCTTACAGCTGACGGCCAAGGCCATATACTGTTTACAGCCCTATAAAAATGTTCTCTTTGGGCAAGATCATAGGGACTGCCGATCTCTGGTGAGCAGGCGCCAGAAGGGCCCTGTTTTCTGGCTCCACACCTCACTGCAGTGTCCTATGGACGTCTCAGGAAGAGCCAAATTGCATCTTTTTGACATGGTTGCCCACCTAAGACAAGCTGTGCTGTTTCAGTGTTCTGGAGAATCCACCCTGGTGAGTAACAGTGCTCAACAGTGGACACAGGGTTTAGGAATGGGATGGCAGGCTTGCCTTGCATACCTCAGTAGGAAAGAATCTGACCGAGAACCAGAGATAGGAAAAATATCTTAAAATTCATCAGAAATGCCACAAAACAAATCATATTCACAAACTCTAGAGCAGAGAATGCAGGCAGCACTTGGGCATTTTACTTAATAGGGCACGTGTTCGCCGAGGATGACCGATAAAGACCCCGTGACTGTGGCGAGACCAGCCCCACTCCTCGGCATCCGCAGACCTACCTTGGCTGACCTGGTGATGGCCCCGATCTCCGAGTACAGATCGGAGCTGTCTGGGAAGTTTTCCACCACCATGGTGCACACGTGGTGGAGAAGCGACTGCTTGTGCACTGTGTCTTTGACTTCTGGAACCTTCTCGAGGTAGCTTAACTCAAACGCTTTGGCCTGTTTTGCAAACATCAATATAAAAGACAAGTTTCACGCAGGCTCTTAGAGAACAGCACAGATGGTTAGAATCAATTCCCAGCTGCAGTCGCCCCAACATTCGGTTTCTCTGTGACTGAAGCTCCTGGGGCCACATCCTCCATGAACCAGGGCTGATCACATGTGGGCCAGCCACACTGAGAATGAGGGAGCCTCAAGCCCTTTCCCACCACAGCCATGAGCCATGTCCCAGGGCTCACCCCTAAATCAGGGTGCTGTGGGACTAGGCTCTTACATCTGTTTATCTACTTCCTCCTCCCTTTGCCTGCTGTCACCTACTTCCTGGCCAAAGCTGGGTCAATTTTAAAAAGTTGCTTTTCTTAATAGCTAATGCATATTGGGCTTAATACCTAGGTGATGGGTTGATAGGTACAGCAAACTACCAGGGCACACGTTTACCAGTGTAAAAAACCTGCACCTCCTGCAAATGTACCCCAGAACTTAAAAATATTTTTTTAAAGTTGTTTTTCTTTAAGCATCAAAATGCATATAAGCATGAATATTTGAGTGATAAGCTCAGGAAAAAAAAAAAATGGGGCAGAAGAAAGTTTTCCAATGTCAAATTTGAGAGTAGTTACACTTCATAAAGAATCATGTGTGTGTTTTCTGTTTTCTTATTTATAGCAAGACATTGGTTGAAATCTTGAGATGGAATCTTGCTCTGTCACCCAGGCTGGAGTGCAGTGGCAAGATCTCAGTTCACTGCAACCTCCACTTTCCAGGTTCAAGCGATTCTCCTGCCTCAGCATCCTGAGTAGCCTGGACTACAGGCACGTGCCGCCATGCCTGGCTAATTTTTTTGTATTTTTAGTAGAGACGGGGTTTCACCATGTCAGTCAGGATGGTCTCAATCTCCTGACTTCGTGATCTCAGCCTCACAAAGTGCTGAGATTACAGGCGTGAGCCACTGCAACCAGCCCAGGCCCTGGTATCTTAAGAACAAAATTCCTTCTAGATTTTCAGCAAGAAGACACAAAAGTCATTTGTTCTACTGTGCTTTGGGGGACCTGAGGTACAACCTTCATCAGCAATTGCTGGGCAGGGATTTTGTGGCAAGTGGGGGGCTGCAGGATGAGGGATGGGGACGACTTACATTAGTTCCATTTAGAAAGTTTCCAATGGCTAAGAGAGTAGACAGGATAAAGCCCAAGGTTTTATTGTTCTCCAACTGGTCTATTCCTTCCTTCAGGTCCAGGAGTGGTTCTGCTACTTCCTTTCAGTTAAAAAAAAATTAGACGATAAAAAATGTACAATTTGGCTTTACTTTGTTCTTTTGACTTTCTGTATAAGGGAACACGCGGTGCTCTCCCCAGCACGAGGCAATCCCCCGCAATGGGCATTGTTCCTAGGTATGGAAATGTGTGGCAGGGAGAGCCTCTACTCCCCAGACCCTGCAGTGGAGACCAAAAGGACCTTGTGCTGGGGTGACAAGGATTCTGGACTCCCCGTTCCTGCCTCAGGGAATGCCCTCCTCTTACTCTCCTTTCTGGCTGTGGCTGACTTCTGGGAAACTCTTCCTTCCCATCTTCCTTCAGCTTCTAGACCACAGTCTTCTTCTTTGCTTTTTCTCGTTCCAGGCAGATTGGCAATGAAAGTTTTGGCCTACGATGTCCCTGAACTGCCCCAGGCCTCCTCCTCCCTTCAAGGCACTCCATGGCTAGCCACCTCTCAGCCTGGGCTGCTCACTAGAAGGCTACTGCCCTCACTACCCCACTGCCTTCATGATCCCCCTCCCTCAGACCTCCAGCCCACCCTGTAACCTCATGGCCTCCATCTCCCCCACCCTCTCTGGTGCTGTTCTGTGGCCCCCACTCCTTTGTCTTGACTGAGGCTCTCCCCCAGACTATATCCCAAAGCCAGGAGATCCAGCTTCAGTTTCTCCAGCCCAGGTCCTGCCAGGCTGACCCAGTGATCTGTTTTCTCCATGATGTTACCTCCCTTAGCTAAAGAAAGTCACCTGAGCATGCTGGCTGGTCTTGTGACCCAGTCATAGCAGTCACCTCAGCAGTCCTAGGTGTCTTTCTCTCTGCTTGACTTCCTGATGAATTCAAATACTGCAGTTCCCTCCTGAAGTCCCCCAAACCCACCACCACCTATCTGGCCCTCAGTATAGGACCTTGCTCCTCCTTTTGCCAGAAGATGGAGACCACATAGCCTCTCCACTTGGCTTTATTTTTTTAGAGGTGGGGGTCTCATTCTGTTGCCCAGGCTGGAGTACAGTAAGGCGATTATAGCCCACTACAGCCTTGAACTCCTGGCCCCAAGTGATCCTCCTGCCACAGCCTCCTGAGTAGCTGGGACTACAAGTGCATGCCACCACACCTGGCTAAGTTTTCAAAATTTTTGTAGAGACAAGGTCTCACTATGATGCTCAGGTTGGTCTTGAACTCCTGACTTCAAGTCATCCTCTTACCTCAGCCTCCCAAAGTGCTGGGATTACAGGTGTGAGCCACTGCACCTGGCCCACTTGGCCTATAGAATCTGTCTCTTCTGGGGACTTCCTCTCAACTAAGATCCCACACAGTTCACTTTCCATCTCTCCCTTTTCTTCTCCACTGGCTCCTTCTGTTCAGCCTGCATCAAACTCCCACTGCCCTATTCCAGAGAGGATGCCTATGTCCTCTGCTTTCTACTCAGGAGGAGCCTCCTCAAGCTTTCTCCATTAAGGCCCCTTTCCTTCTATTCTCCTCCCAAACTCTTGCAATAGGCATCATCTTCAACTTTCTACCAGGGATACTCTCTCAAAGGGACCCAAAGACCTGCTAATTGCCATAGTCACTGGCAGTTTAGGCGATTATCATCAGGTGGAAGGATTATAGGAAATTTTCTGTATTGTGCTTTTCTGTATTTTCCACATTTTCTACAATGAGAATATAGGACCTGAAAAAAATTTAACTGTTTTGCTTTGTAATCAATCACCTGGTGCCCACAATCTAGTGTCTGAGGCTGGCACCAGGCAGACACTTTAGAATCAGCCTCCATTGGCCAGCTGCTGATCACTTGGTGTACACACGACCTGCTCATTGTCAACTCACCCTTCACACCCTATGCCAAGAATGACATTTCACTGTCTTAATATTGATCAATGAAAAACTGCCTTTCTCAACCCTGTGGATGTGGGATCAGCTGCCTCTCTTACTGAGAGCTTACCTTTTCTGTAGTTTCATAATCCATTTTGAATGCCCAGAGGTGAAGTCGTGCAGAGAGCTCACTGATGGAGGAGAGGGTGAGGAGGAACTGCTCTGCACTGCCCAAGGGGATTTCAGGGTTGGCCAGCTGAGCTTCCTGGATTTTCTGCTTCTCCTCGTCAGTGGGAATCATCGTTAGAATTTTCTGGAAATATGACATGATATATTTTCTCTTAGTGATGGACCCTCCCCTGCCCCTTCAATGTTATAAAATTCATATTATAATTTTCCAACCAGGTAATAGAGGTATCTACAGGTGTTATATTGTCATAAACTGAATATACTTGAAGCAACTTGACCCAAAATTTCAGGGTTTTGCACACAAAGGACATTCTAGGCAAGAAAGGGAGAGGGGAGGTGAGAAAAAGATGAAAAACAAGACACAAGATTAGAGAACAGCTCCCCAGTTCCCTAGGAAGTAGAGTAAGACATGTCAAAAAATATGCTTTGTAGCACTTCTGGATTAACTTAAAAGCTTACAAAAATGAATCATTTTCAATTAACTCAGATTGACTTTTGTTCATGTGACATATAACTATTTTAACTGTATTTCAAAACTTACATAGAAATGATAGTACCTTAAGTAATACTAAACTTAGGTCTGATTACAGAAAAAAATTATGATGGTATCTAGAAATACAAGCTAATAAAAGAAGTATATCGTTTTACTTCTATTTGTTTCTGGTAAAAATCAATTGTGGAAGGCAGAGAAGGCAAAAAGGCACCAGAATACATACGATTCTCATACACTCAAATTCCTTTGTGATTACATTTTTTAAAGTAAAAATTCTCATGTCTACTCTTACTATTCCTATTGAACATCATATGGAAACCTTAGCCAGGTACATAAAAGAAATAAAAGGCATACAGACTGGAAAGGAAAAAACTGCTCATATACACAGATGTCATAATTGTCTGCATAAAAACTATAAGGAATCTATAAAAAATTTCTAAAACAAAAAAGTGAGTTTAACAATGTATGATGTAGGGTCAAAACACAAAAATCCATCTTATTAGTTTGTTATCTGCACATTTATAATAAAGTTTTTAAAAAATACTATTTGCAATGAAACACATAGGTATAACTCTAACAAATCCTGTTAACTATCTTTATGCTAGAAACTAGAAAATGCTGATGAAAGCAATCAAACAAGATAGAAACAATAAATACATGGAGAGACATACTATATTCATGGACTGAAAGACTCAACACAGACAAGATGTTACTTCTTCCAAAATTGTTCTATAGATTTAATTCAATTCCAATCAAAACACCAGGATGATTTTTTTGTAGATACATGATGCAGGACAGGTGAGCCCCAAAATTGAGCTTAGCCTGGGATGGTTTTTGGCTTTAACCAGGAAATAATTCAAGAGCAAACTGGTAGTGATAGACTGAAAAATTTTTTTTTTTTTTTGAGACGGAGTCTTGCTCTGTAGCCCAGGCTGGAGTGCAGTGGCCGGATCTCAACTCACTGCAAGCTCCGCCTCCCGGGTTTACGCCATTCTCCTGCCTCAGCCTCCGGAGTAGCTGGGACTACAGGCGCCCGCCACCTCGCCCGGCTAGTTTTTTTTTTGTATTTTTAGTAGAGACGGGGTTTCACCATGTTAGCCAGGATGGTCTCGATCTCCTGACCTCGTGATCCACCCGTCTCGGCCTCCCAAAGTGCTGGGATTACAGGCTTGAGCCACCGCGCCCGGCCTAGACTGAAATTTTTTATTGAACAGTACTGCTCCTTCTGGAGCAGGGCTAACTCCTAGGCAGTGTGCCCAGGGTCAGCGAAGTATGGTCTCTTGGCAACAGTATTTATACTCATGTAAATCTATTTTCAATTATATGCAAATTAAAGGTCAGGTCAACACAAATTGAGGGGTGGGTTGTTTAGAACTTTCTAGGAAAGGGACAGTGTTTTGGGTCTTGCCCTGGAAAGGGGTGGTAACTTGTGGGTTGTTGCCATGGCATTTATAAATTGTCATGGCTCTAGTGGGAGTAGCTTATACCTATGAGCAATGAGGGCAGCTAAGGATTGCTTTTGTCTCCGTCTGTGGTTTTCATCAGTTTTTTTGCTTTATCCCATCTGAACCAGATCTTGTTTTGGTCATCAGGGTTGGGACCAGAAAATAAGTCCTGCTGGTCTCCTACCTTACATAGACAAGCTGATTCTAAAAGTTACATGGTAAAGCAGAAGAACTAGAACAACTAAATCTGAAAAAGAGTAATCTTGGAGAAATCATATAACCTGGCTTTAATAAATAAAAAGCTATGGTAATTAAGACAGTGTGTCATTGGTAAAAGGATAGACACCTAGATCGATGGGACAGAGCAGACAGTTCAGAACAGGACACACAAATGTGGCCCATTGATTTTGAAAAAGGTACAAGGCAATTCAATAGAGACAGGATATTATTTTCATCAAATGGTGTTAGAACAACTAGACTCCATATGCAGAAAAAAGCAACCTCAAGTTAAACCTTACAGTATACATAAACAAACTCAAAATGGATCACAGATCTGAAAATAAAATGGAATACTATGAAACTTTTAGAAGACAACATAGGAGAAAACTTTTATAACCTATGTTAGGCAAAAATTTCTTAGACATGATTCCAAAAAAGAATAAGTTAATAAACCAAACTTTATCCAAATTAAAAACTTTTGCTTTGTGATAGACACTGTTAGACAATAGAGGACAAGCTGTAGTTCCTCAAAAGATTAAATATAGAATTATCATACCACCCAGCAATTCCATTCTTGGGTATTTATCCTAGAAAAATGGAAACTTACTTTCACACAAACGCATGTACATGAATATTTGTAGAAGCTTTATTCATAACTGCCAAAAACTGGACCAAGCTAAATATTCTTGAGTGGTGTATATACAAATTGTAGTAGATTCCCTGCAATGCAATAGCACTCGGCAATAAAAGGAACAAACTATAGATATGCACAATGATTTGAATGAATCTCAAAGGCATCATGATGAGTAAAAGAAGCCAGTCTCAAAAGGTTACATGCTGTTTACAGGGCATTTTTGAAAAGACAAAACCATAGTGATGGGGAATACATAGTGGTTACCAGGTGCCAGAGGTGGGTTGAGGGTACAACTACAAAAGGGCAACACAAGAGTTTTGTTGGAAGATGGGACTGTTTTAAATCCTGATTGCAGTGGTCATTGCATGAATTTATATGCTTTAAAACTCACAGAACCATATACCAAAAAGTCGACTGCACTCTATATTAGTTCAAAAACTAAGAAAATAAATAACAAAATGAGAAACAGGACTCTTGACACCACAGTCCCTACATATGCACATGTTTACACAAGTGTGCATCAGGATGTATCTGGCTGGGATAGATGTAGTCCTGGGCTTGATGAGGGTGTTAACAGGCAGGACTGCCTTAGTTTATCAGAAACCAGTAATGCAAAACTGCATTGCAGTTGTGCATTCAGGCTGTAGTCAGTGTAAAGTTATCAAAGGTGAGCCTGAGACACCTCCCTTTCCAACTTTCCCTTCACTGGCTCTCCAGTCACTGAGGCTTTGGGTGGAATTTGAGCATCTGGAGAGACACGTGGTGGCACTGCTCCTTGCTTTCCCACAACCTGGCACATGTCCCACCTGTTTACGCCGATAGTGTTAAGAGATAGCCAAGACACTTCAAGCAGATGTTGCCTCTTTAAAAACATGCATGATTTAAACTCAATTAGTTTTCAAAATAAATGCTTCACTAAAATTTGTATTTTAATTTCCTTAGCACTGCCATTGTTTTTGGCATGACCAAAATTCCAAAATGAAAAACTGTCAACACTTTGTACAACCTTCAGAAGACGTCTTCCTGTAATGAATTTTGTTGCTTTGTTCCTTTGAGAAAGCAATTACTCTTCTTTTTGTTTTTCATTTATCTAATTTATACTACTTGGTCAATGTTGAAGATTTAGGAGGTTGCCACCTGCCAGTTTATTTTATTTTTTTACACATCACTGACAATAAGAATAGTTGTAAGACAGTGGAATGGTAGGTTAAAGCCACCTCCTATGAGCCCCTCCTATGAGCTGATGGCCCTTGTTTTTTGTGAGCAGATGATAATGTGATGATTATGACGTGATATTTTTAACTTGCTTTTCTAAGTCAGTAGATTTATTGATAATTTCATGATCATCGTTTCATTTCACAGGAAAGCAAACATCAAACAAGACCAATATGTTGATAGGGATAGGAAGCAGAGAAATTCTAGACAGAAAAGGGTGGGGTCCCTGGCAAAGGCCCCACCCTCAAGCCTGGAACTATGGCCCAAAGTGAGAACTTTACATCCCTGTTTTCCCACCTTTTCCAAAACCACCCCTGGTCTGCCCCACCCCCATCCTGTACCCATAAAAACCCCAGGCTCCACTGGCAGAGAGCAGAGAAGGGGAGAAGAGGAGAAGCAGCAGGACATCAGAAATTGTGGTTTGATGTCAGAGAGAGGCAGCTTGACTTCAGAGGGATGGCTTGACAGAGTTGCTTCCAAGAGGAGTACAGCTGGGGATCGCCAGACTCTGGTGGAAGATCACTTTCCCATTCCATCCCCTTTCCAGCTCCCCTTCTTGCTGAGAGCCACTTTCATTGGCAATAAAACCCTCTGTATTCACCATCCTTCAATTCATTTATGTGACCTGATTTTTTTCTGGACGCCAAACAAGAGCTCTGGTGTCACAGATGTGGGCGCTAAAGGCTGTCACACTGACCCTCTGCCCTCACTGGTGGAGAGCAACCACCTCACACAAAAAGGCAGAGGGCCAACTGAGTTAACACTTAAGCCATCCATGATGGCAAAGCTAAAAGTCGTACTGTACACATGCCCTCTGGGGTTTCAGGGGTTGCGGGTACTCCCCACCAGACACCGCTGCAGGGCCCACATGGAGTTTTGCTCCTGCTGGTGCCCAGAAGCACATGCCCTGGCCCCTGCACTCACTCACCTGTGTGCTCCCACTCCTTAGAGGAGTTGAGAGCTATGAGCTGAGTAAGCAAGGCACCCCCATCACAAGGCCTGTGAAGGGGTCAGGGAAAATTTCCTGTTTCAATGTGATAACCTCCATGTTTTTAGCTTTTGCCTAGACAGCGTCCCTCTAGCACTGCTCTAAGTATATTTGCTTTTGTATCTGAAAG